CTCCCGCCTGCTCCTCAAGCTTGTGCCGCGGGAGGCGGAGGAGGAAACTCCTTCACGCATCGACAACTGGAAGTGCATCCCACAAACCCATTACTAGAGCACTCTGCCGGATCACTGCGCTGCAGCCGCTCCCCTCTGGCTCCCTCCTTCCCCATCTCCTGCCCACCTGCCAGGCAGGAACAAATTCCCTGCCTGACAACGCGTCCCGGCGCAGGGACAGGGTCAGGAATCCGCCTGGACAAGGAGACGCAAGGTCCCTGCGGCAGACGGCGGTGCTGGGGGTTAACGAAGAGCAGCCGAATGTTCCTTGATACAGTTACGCCGCCTGCTCTCAGGGCCTTTCCGAGGGAGCAGTCGAAGCACTGACTTGGACTTCTCTAGTCAAGAGCTTCCGGGTCCCTGGGCCACAAGGGGAGAGGTTCTGAACCCCCCTTTGCTGGAGAGGCCCATGGCGAGAAGGGAAGGGGCTTACGGCCTCTTTCTGAAGAGTTCCCCCCAGGCCAACGGGCATCTATTCCGGAACTCACCATTTTCGCCTCCGAGTGCATCGGCAGGCCCGACGGCGAGATGGCCCCGCTGCTGCCGATGGGCGGCCCAGGAATCCCAGGAACGTTGGGCACCATGGACACTGGCCTGGCCAGCTGCACGCGGAGAGAAGAGCGCAGCCGTCTGAGAAGCGTCCCTGTGCTACTGGGAGCGCTCGACAGACTCTTTCAGCGGTGCCCGCTGGGACCTGCCACCTCCGGGGCCACCGAGAGCCGGGGACAGCAGGCGAAGCATCGTGCCTCACTTCCCGCGCACCCAGGAACCCCGTCCAGCGGAGCGCTGCCCGGCGGGGGACGTGAGAACCGGGACACCTGGGCTCTAGGCCCGACTTGCAGCGCTGCCCTGGGAGATCCTCGTGTACCGGAATTGCCCTCTCCCTGCACAAACGCCTGCCCAGCAGGAGGCACAGGATTCGCACAGGCTGACTTGCCCAACACACACTAGCCCACCAGCTCTGTGTATTTGTCAATTTCCTACCCTGGCAAATTCTCCAACGTGGAAATAAACTGCAGGGGGACGTGCAAGTCCCAGGTGCGCAGGCCGGGGCGGCTTTCCTGGCCTGCGAGGACTAACACGCTCTCCGTACGCTCCAATGGTCTTGACTGAAGCTTTCTTTCCGTTCCAAAAGCCACCTAATCAGGGACCCTGCCGCTCCCAGGCCTGGCTCACTGGCGTGAGCCATCTGCCCAGACAGCTTCATTCTGCAGCCTTCCTGCCCTCCAGCATGACTGGCATCTTGTTATTAGCTTGCTGGCGTCAGCCTTGCCCGCCCCCTCTTCAGGCTCATCACACACAGGGGCGGGTGTACTTGAATTCTGCACATCAAAGCGTCTGCCTGTGCTGGGCAGGAGAAAAGCCGCCCCCCTCCCTTCCCACGGAGCACGAGCTGGACATTTTTCTTACCGAGATAACAGAAGGCATCTGTACAGGAGGGCCGGGGAGGACCGGCATGGTCTGGCTGTTCGCAAGGTGCATGACTAGAGGCAGGGAGCCCGTGGGAGACCTGGAGAAACAAGTCAAGCTCACAGAGATCAGTTCAAGTGCACACGGAACAGACAAGCCTCACCAAGCCCACCGCGATACCGATCATTTCTAGCTTTGCCCAGACCAGGCGTAAGGCACCGTGTCGGCCAACACAACGTCTTAACGGTCGGTACAGCACAGGGCCTTTAGCACGTGCGAAAGGGACCCAGTGAAAGCCTAGCATGGTGTGTACCACAGTGCACCGTTCTTAGCAGGGATGAACTGGCACGTGCTAACGGCAGTTTGGGGACCCAGCCGTTTGTGGCTTGGTGCCGATGGAGGGATCACGACTCCCCCCATGTAACTTCTCCGGGAAGGCCTGCCGGCCGGCTGTGAACACACAAGGACAGAGGGGAGGCTGGGCTCTGACCGAACAGAGGGCGAGGGATCCGCAAGTCGCACCCTGAGCTCTCTGTTTCAGGGGAAGGAGGGTGCGAGTCCACCGGCGTTCTCCCTGTGCCAGTGCAAACAGCTGCTCTGCTCCAAGACACACAGCAAAGCGCACCGCACCAACGCTGAGTGGCAGTCGCAGCGTAGCGCCCCCTGCTGGCATGGGCGCCTACTCACGACATGTCAAAGTGCCCTTGCGTGGGCAGCTGGGCTGTTCAGTGGTGTCCGGCTGCTGCTTTGATGTGCCAGGCCGGCTGGGGGACTAGAGCGACCATGCCTACATGCTGGTCCATTCCTGGCCCGACAGATGCAGTACTACAGCTCACTTGGCAGAGCGGGCTTGTGCTGTCGTGTCAATTTCATTTCAACACACCACGAGCCCTCACGGCTTCCGAGCAAACATTCTGCGGAGGGCCGTGTCTGCCGCCTGCCTGAAACAATAGGCCTGAGACACATGAAAAGCTCCGCTCATTGCCAATACATGCTGGTCCATTCCTGGCCCGACAGATGCAGTACTACAGCTCACTTGGCAGAGCGGGCTTGTGCTGTCGTGTCAATTTCATTTCAACACACCACGAGCCCTCACGGCTTCCGAGCAAACATTCTGCGGAGGGCCGTGTCTGCCGCCTGCCTGAAACAATAGGCCTGAGACACATGAAAAGCTCCGCTCATTGCCAAGGCGAAAGCCTAATTACGACGATTAAAAATGCCAACACAGAAACAGCAGCCAACGTGCTTTGGAGTGCAGTGACAGGGAAGGGATGGGGGCCGCCTGCTCAGCGGTAGCCCGCCGCTATTTCCGAGCGATGATTTGCAGGGCTGAGCTCCCTCCTGCAGACTCCACGGCACGTAGGGCCCACGATTCAAGAATCCCGCCCAAAGAGCGTGGGGGGGCGGGGGGGAGGGAGAGAAGGAGGCTGCCTCTGGACTTGCACGGTCAGGACAAAGTGGAGACAAAAAACCTGTTCTCCTTGTTTTCTCCTCCACCAGGGAGCCTTGCCTGCGTGTCTCGCTTGCGAAAGCGGAAGGCGGAGGCAGAGAGCGGGGCCAGGAGAGGAAGAGCAGGGCTGGCGTGGAGCAGGGATCTGGGGAGGCAAGCTAAGAACTGAGGTCATGGTGAGAGAGGGCGGGGGGTGAACTGGGCCAGATCCAAGTGGAGACCTTTACACAGCGATCAATTCCCATAGAAACTAGCAGCCAGCTCCTCCAGGCTGCTTTTCAAATCCCAGGCGAGAAGTTTAGCTACCGAAAGTCCAGGCCCTGCCCTCGCTCTCCAGCCTGCTGACCTCCCCGAGTTCCACGACAGGCCTAACTCTGTAGCTTCCATAGATGGACGGTTCCAACTTGGCTTCTCCACTTTCTAAGCAGGGCAATGCCCTGGGGCCTCGGCTCCACAAGGCAGCAACACACCTGAGGTGGAGCCTCGTATATGGAACACATAGACACAGGCTACACTCTCAAAACACAAAGACCCTTCGGTGCCCGGAGACAGGCATTAGAACCTCCCCATAGGAAGTCTGGACGGACTGTGCCAAGGGTTTGAAACAAACACACACAAAAATGCGAAGGGGCAGCCAAAAAGTGGCCTTTGTCAATGCAAAGAGCCAGATCCAAAGGGGGTCATTAGAAAGAAGTAACGGCCACGGCACAGCAGCAGCATCCTGACACCAAAGGACAGAGTGAGAGCTAAATATACCGCTCCTGACGGCCCATTGTAATGTATTTCCTGGATCACACAGGCTCCTTCCTGCAGCACACAGGACTGAAACGGCCCACAATGCAACGTGCTCGTGATAAGCTGGAGCCCCAGGTCGGTCACTGGGGTCTCTGAAAACAAGCAGGCCCCGAGGCAGAGCCTGGGGCGGAGGGGGCCGTCAGGGCGTAGAGGCAACGCTTCCTGAACCGCAGTGCTCTGGAGAACCCCAACACCCTGAACGATTCAGCTGCTTGCACCCAAGTCTCACCCTTCCAGCAGGGCGACGTGGGCAGCTTGCGGTCGGGTGGGAGTTTGGCTCCGACGCCCGGTGCTGCAGGAGGGGAAGGCGGAGGGATACCGGGACCGAGCTGCTTTTCTTTCCCTCTGGTTAACTTCAAACTACTCCCCAGGTTTTGCCGTTAGGTCATGATAAATATTTTCGTTTAATCCCCGAGGCCATGTCCCGAGAGGGAGGGGGTTTGAGAGAAGAGGTGCGACAGGGGGAGAGGGTGGGACAGAAGTGGGGTGGACCCAGGGCAGGAAGCTGGCTGGATTGTGGGACTGCCCGGGCCGCAGGTGGCCTGCGGGCCAGGAGTCTGAGACCCGATTTAGGCACCGAAAGGCAGGCGTGAGAGCCACCCTGTCCACGTGCCGGTCCACGGCCGAGCGTCTCTTACCCCAGCTGTCTGTTGCGAGGTCGGGGAGGGGAGCGTGGGGTGGAGCGGGTCATATCCCAAATGGAGCGGCAGCGACCCCGGGCGCACGATGGTCGGAGTAGGCGTAGAAATGATCACGGGCTGGGAAGCGCTCTCCTAGCAAACGAAAAGGAGAGATTCTTTACCTGCTCGCCCCGCCGTCTGCGGGGAACCGGAGCGACTCGGAAACGGCAAACCCACTCCGCTGCAGCCCCGCAGGGCAGGGAAGCCGGCTCTCAGGGATTCAATGGCAGAGCCAGGCACAGAATCCCTAACCCCACCCCCCCAGTCCTGCAGAACCCCCTCGCCACTTCTCTCCAGGCTTGCGGTGCCTAGCAGGACCAAGTACGAGCCTGCAGTCTCGCCGCCGCCGCTCTGCCACACGCGGGTCCCTCTGGGCTGCAGCACCAGCCTCAAGGCCCAGGCCCTAGCAAAACTGCTTCATCGAGGCAGCAAGTTTTCCCAGTTGAAGAAACCTGTGACGGCTCCCAGCTCGACCCAGGCCTGAGTCCCGAGTCAGCAGTCAGCCCACAGCTGTGAGCCAGCAGCTCACCTGAGTAACTGGTGCAGGACCCGGAGAAGGGCAGCCCACCCCGACGCTCCATTACTGGCGACGGAGAACTAGATCAACCAGGAAGCAACAGGGGGCTGTCCAAGCAATTGGAGGAATCCTCGGCCGGCTGCCCCAAGATCCCCTCCTGCTCACCTGACTCCGGAGCCCTGCGTCCCTGCCTGCTCCTGGCTCCTTCCTTCCCACTCCAGACCACTGTCTGCCCCAGTCCTGTCCTACCCCAGAGCCCTGGTCCTCTGCCTTATCCCTCACGCCGCCTCCAGCACAGATCCCTGGCCTGGCAGCTGACTCCCGCTCGCTACCTGATGCGGTCTTTGGTTTCGACCCTCAGCTCCAACCGTTAGGCTTGACTCCTGCTCCGACCACTGGGTATGACTGCCCACGCCCCAGTGACTGCAACCCCCCCGATTTACTCTCCACGAGCACGGCAGCAGTTTATTACTGACTTGATGTGGAGATTTAGGAACTGAAATTGGTTCTTCACTTCCTGGCTGGGAGGCGGGGGCGGGCAGCACCTTCAGCTCCAGCTCAGGGTGCTGCTGAAGAAGGAACTTGTCCTACTGAAGTTAGCAGCAGCTCTCCTGGCGAGAGGGCCAATTCCAGCGAGTGGGCACAACGCAGGAACCTACCTTCTCTTGGGCCTGGGGGGACTGCGGACTGGACACCGGGCTGTCTGGAGGAGAAGAATCCACCTCGACTGGCTCCTCCTCCTTGATTTTGAGGTCTGGCGTGGAGGGCAAGGACATGTCCAGAGGCCCAGCACTCTAGGGAAATAGTGATGCAGTGAAATTATTTCGGGCACTAGCAAAACACTACTCGTTTCCAGGGCCACTGCTCAGCCGCACCTAGTAACATCTGCCAAAAGCCGTGGGCTGTTCTTTGCATTTCCCAGGCAACAAGACGCTGTAGTCCTGGGCCTCGTGGCAGCAGGCACTGCACCCACGGGAACACAGTCCCTGGCCCCGAAGGCCTGTGCTCCGTGGTCCCGGGTAGCCAACACTAAGCGCGACACACTAACTCGCGGGGAATTCTTTCCAGTGCTGAGCAGAGCAGGTAGCGGAGCCAGGCGCCTGCAGCTACCAAAGGCCCTTCCATTCGCACAAGAGTCACGAGGCAGGGATGTTAAAAACCGGTCAGTTAGGTAACTGCGTAACCATGAAAAGCTTGGCGGTGACAGGCCGCGGGCTCTGCAGTTCAAAGCTCATACCACAGAGCCTGTAGCACAGCTGGCTCCCCGGGAGCTGGCTCCTGGCACACAC